CTTACTGGACATCTACAGGAGGATGTAACCTTGGTGTATGCTTTTTGCTGATGATATCCTTCTCATGGATAAAACGAGAGAAAAAGCCCAGGAAAAACTTGAATTATGAAGGTCTACGTTGGAGTCTAAAGGCCTTCATTCAAGTAGAACTAAAACTGAATACATGGAATATAGTTTTAGTAGTAGTAGCTCTAGTGACAAAAGTGTGACTTTGGGTGATCAAATTATTAAAAGGTGTGAACGATTTAAATATCTTGGGTCTATTGCTCAAAGCGATGGTGATATAGATGTGGATGTTAATAGTAGAATTTAAGTTGGTTGGTTGAAGTGGAGGAATGCTTCAGACCTTTTGTGTGATAGAAAAGTGCCGCTTAGACTGAAAGGAAAATTTTATAAGACGGTGGTGAGACCTGCAATGCTATATGGCGCTGAATGTTGGCCTTTAAAAGAGAAGCATAATAATAAGTTAAGTGTTGCCGAGATGAGAGTGATTAGGTGGATAAGTGGCTTTACACTTAGAGACATAATGCGAAATGAATATATTCGTGATAGGGTTGGTGTAGGTCATGTGACGGACAAAATTAGAGAAGTCGCCTTAGATAGTTTGATCACATTAAACGTCGACCATCTGATGATCCGATTAGAAGAGTAGATATTTTAGATTCGACTTGTGTTAAGAAAGGAAGATGTAGACCTAGGAAGACTTGGGCTTGCTGTAAAAAAAATGATCTTAATTTACTAGAACTAAATGAAAATATGACACTAAATAAGACGCAATGGAGAAAAATGATTCATGTTGTCGACCCCACGTAGTGGGATTAAGGCTTTGTTGTTTTTATTGTTGTAATATAACTAATAATAATTATTATTAATTAATTCAAATACACACAAGCACGTGCACGGGGTGTGTGTGTTTGTGTGTGTATAAATAATTGTTAACTCTTGAGAACTTGATCTGTGTAGGACACTGGTTGAACCACAAAATATTCGAAGCATTATTTCCAGTCTTGAAATCAGTAGTTGTTATTTATTAATGGATAGATACCCACTTCATTGTTAGGGTGATTTTTTTTTGCTACTTGTATTGGATTACTTGCTAATTGTAAGTTTGCCAGTTGTACCATTCAAATTGAGTTAATATATCTACAATATATTTTATTTCTTGTTCATATGAATTTTATGAGTAATTAATTATTTTTTAATACTGCATAAAGTCCTATTTACTTACTTTTGTCTTGTGTTTACAATAGTATTATTTTGCTATTATTTTAATGCATTAAATCTCATTATTATAAATTAATAATTATATATAAATATTGATAGACATGTTTTAGTTATATTCATATGCTTTGATTATAATGTATGAAATATGTCTAATATTATATTATTATTATGTCTGCAATAAATTACTATTGTGGCTAACAAGGTCGATGGGTCATGGAGAAATCATTGGATTTTTGTAGGATTGTTGTCTTAGTTTTTTTCATTTTATTAAAAGATTATTAAATCTTATGTGTATAAACGCATTATATTTTGAAATGTAAATGTTTACATAGAAGTGCACGTGTTTAAGTCACTCATTTTCATTGTCATAAGTATTTGATACTCTTTTTACAAATTATTTCCCTTTTATTATTCATATTGCATGATATAATTCCTTGTTGGTTCCGATTGGATAAATAATAATTATTTGCTGAGTATAGATAATAAACTCACTCGTTAATATTTTTGCATAGTATGTTTCATTCAGTTACTTAGAGGGTCGTCTCCATAGAACACGCATTACATCTTTAGATTTACTTTTTGGCATTTTTATTAGTGTTTTTTTATTTTTGGGATTTGTGTAGTTATTTCAGTAAGTTTCTTATTTTTCTTTGAGTTAATTTATTCTTTTTTTATAAAATTAAATAAAATCCATATTTTATTGCTTGTTTTAGCTATTGCTTGGGTCTACAATCTTTTTTCCTTTTGAATAATACTAAACATATTTAGTGATTGGGTGGTTGTACCGCCTTCCGGACCCTAGGTGTGATAACTTTGAGGGACCTTATACATATATGATAGCTTGCTCATGATTTCATCAAGCTTTCTCTTAAAACAAATCAAGGTTGTAATCCTTCTTCACATCTAATAATATATCTTCTATTAGATTCTAATTAGTGTCAAATTTATCAAATTTCTTCTTGAGTGCATGTCTAATAAGTTATGATTAAGCTTGCTCTTAGTTTTTTTATTATTATTTAATATCTATAATTCAATTATGCTCTAAATCATGGCTTTTGTTCTACAATATAGTTGAGTTTATCACTCTCATTGCTTTCAAGCTCCATGAATATATCTCTAAATATTAATGAATATATCATACATTTCTCTTTTTTTTTTCCCTTTAAATTGAAAGTTCTTCCTCATCATACAAAGATGTAAAACCCTTTTAAACTTATGTATGCTCTCATGTGTTTACCCATATTTAATTGAACTAAGGACAAATTAGAGCATGTGGTCATTATATCTGTAGGCATAGATTAAGAGCTACCTTCCTCATATATATATATATATATGTGTGTGTGTGTGTGTGTGTGTGTGTGTGTGTGTGTGTGTGTGTGTGTGTGTGTGTGTGTGTGTGTGTGTGTGTGTGTGTGTGTGTGTGTGTGTGTGTGTGTGTGTGTGTGTGTGTGAGGCATGTCCACAGTATTACCGATTTTTAAATGGGTTGTGCCCACATCTTCACTTAGGTCTATGATAGATGGTAAACTTATTAATGTTACATTGCTATCATTTGTTAAAAAAATTCTTAGGTGCCATTTATTTTGCTAAATAAGAATTATATCATAAAAGGAATAATGTAAGAAAATGAATTATATTATATCATCACTCGCGCATAATTTTTTTTTTGGGTGGTATACTACAAATGTAATACAAAATCCAGTGGTCAGTGAAAGTGCGTAATGAGCGGGCATTGATTTTCGGTTGACATGTGGTTTTGACACCTAATAGCGTGACGGTGGGGGTTATAGGTGAAGTGCTGCCTCTAACAATGACAAGTGTCTAACAGTAGATGATGAGGAGATGGCGTCAGGCTCCCGATGTTATGTGAATAACATTCGGTGGTGGGTAACTAGCGGTGAGCAACTACTAGAGGTGGCAATTGTGGGTGATGATAGACAACAAGTGGTTATGGCCAATACTTTGCAAAAGTGGTATATTTTAAATTTGTCAAATATCTATTGTGGTGGTAATTGTGGGTGATGATAGACAACAAGTGGTCATTGCACCCATTGTCATTGCACCCCTTTTCTTTTTAATTGTACTCGCCCAAATACAAAATTATCATTTTATGCATTTGCAATGTATTCATTCAAATTACAAGTTTACCTTTTAATGCACCACATCTACTTTCACCCCATTTCTTTTATATTGCATTTTTTTTCAACAAACCAAATAGTTTTATATGCTCAATTTTAGTATTATTACAGTGATAAAGTTATATAAATGTTCTCATTGCCTATAAACATTTATCTTCTAAAATTATAATTACTTATAAAATATTTTACAAATAAATTTCATAAAAGTATTAGTAAGCTTTATATGCCATCAATTTTCAGTAATATCAAAATATTCAATATGCACAATTTAATATTTATTATATAGATTGCACAAGAAAAATCTTACTATTTTTCTTAATATGTCATTCATTTCACAACAAATGTCTTCATTATTTTTACATTTCTCCCAAATCAAAATCACATATTTCATATCATATAAATATAATAAAAAAAGCAAAAAAATCCAATTTTTAAGTCCATCCCAAGCAAAACCGAGCCATCATATGTGCGAACTAGTTGGCACTTTGATTGGCAATGGCGTCATAAGTCCCCTGATGTCCCGAGCTTGAGCCTCACTCGAATAGCACATTATCAGCCTGGCATGGACTACAAATTGAATCATCATATGCCGACCCTATTATTCACCTATCACAGCCTAAATTAAACTAATCTGATGAGATTGCATTGAAAGGAGCTAACGGTAACTCCATATAAAAGCCACATAAAATTCAAATTCAAACTGAAGAACAGAACACATCCTCATCTTCTCTGATAAACTGAAGAACAGAGCAGCTTTCGTCTCCTTCCTCTCTATCTTCTCTGGTAAACTGCAACTCTTCTTTCTTCAAAGGAGTATTCCTTCTCATCCAAAACTCTTAGAAAGGTTGCTGGGGTGGCGACGATCTCCATGGGCTTCAGCACTGTTCCTGGAGCTATTGAGATCAGTTGATTTTCTTCTTCCTGGGAAGGAGTTAATGGTACAACATTGGCTGGACCAAGGAGCGCAAATGGCTTCCTGGGTGTTTCAGAATGCTGAGCGCTTGTGTTCATGACGCCGAAAGACTTTCGAGGCGGATTGGATTGGAAGGAATTCATGTTATCTGAATTAGAAGAAGAGAACCTTGCTGGAATCCCTGCCTCCAATACTCCTTTCTTGGCTGGGGAATCCAAGTTTGAGTAATTAGCAATTAAAATCAAGGAAGAATTACATATATACCATTCAATTGCTATGTATTTACATATCTAATGCCAAAACTTCAATTTTTTAAATATATATGCCAACTTACCTATGTATGACAAGGTGTTTCTGACTTTTTAAAAGTCAAAATAATGATATTTTTTATGTGAGTAAAAGATTTGTGTGGGATAAATGTAAAAAAGTTAGGTTTAGCCGTTTGTGCAAATTTCCCAAATGTTTTTTTATCTCAAATTTTTAAAATCAAAGCAGCAAAAATCATTGTCAAACAAAACTGATATTTTTGGATGAAGTTTGAAGGAACAAACCAGGAGAAACAAAAGTCAACTCATTTCCTCTCTTTGTTGAGGTTGTTGCTTTAATGCAAGGAAAATCAGGTTTCATTAGTTGCATCGCTGCTGCTCCTAAGGACAATCTTCGGCTTGTAAATCCTGAAGAGGTTCTTCTAGGAATTTTTTTCGAGCCCTGCGGCTTCGAGGGACTCGGTTTCGATCCAAAAATTGCTTCCTGCTCAGCTAGAAACTGGCTCTGCAGCTTTTTCTGATCCTGAAAATAAGTTATGGTGCATGATAATGCTGCAAAACTTCGCTTCATATAATTTATATTTATATAATATAGCACTCAATGCTTATGTATTTACATATCTTATACCTAAACTTTCATATTTACAAACATCTTCTATAACATCACGTCAAAAATAGCACTGACATCAATTTTTAAAAGTGAAATATTCTTTTTTATACATAGTTCTTAAAGCGCCGATATAGTATATATATTTAAATATGAAAGTTTAGGTGTGAGATGAGTAAATACATAAAGAATTGTGTACTTAATGTAAATTTCCCAAATGTTTTCAAGGAAAGAAGTATACTCTCTGCCGCTTTTGTTCTTGCTCTTTTTGATGTCGGACGAAAGAATACTCTTCTAGCATTGACAAAAGGCGAACCTGCAACGACAACAACAATGTAAATCAATAATAAGAAAACATAAAATTGAAGATGAACAATAAAAATCTTACACCATCATATGTAAATTCTGCTCCTCTTTCTTCCTCCCATGCTATGATTTTGCTGCATAAAGCCTCCAGAATTCCTAAGAGTGATGGAAAATAAGTGATGGCCCAAGTAAATGTTTCAAAATAAAGTATTTAGTTGTCTAGGAACAACAATAGCAATAAAAACAACAAACCTTTATCCCACTAGGTGGGGTCAGCTACATGAATCCTTTTTCTCCTATTGAGTGTCATATTTTCATTTAATTCTAATAAATTAAAATTATTTTTTTATACAATATGCCCAAAATTTTCAAGTTCTAAAACATCTACTTTCCTAATCAGATCATCAAATGGTCGATGTTTGATGAGACCAAACCATCTGAGACGACTCTCTCTAATTTTGTCTGCCACTGGAGCTATACCAACCCTATGACAAATATATTCATTTTGCATTTTGTCTCTAAGTGTAAAGCAACTCATCCACCTAAGCATTCTCATCTCGACAACACTTAACTTAGTTTATGCTTCTCTTTTAAAGGCAACATTCAGCGTCATAGAGCATTGCAGGTCTCACCACCATCTTATAAAATTTTCTCTTCAGTCTAAGCGATACTTTTTTATTACACAATAAGCCTGAAGCATTTGTCCACTTCAACCAACCAACTTGGATTCTACTAATAACATCCTTATCTATATCACCATCACTTTGAACAATAGACCCGAGATATCTAAAGCATTCACACCTTTTAAAAATTGCATCACCCATAGTTACAAAGAGCATCGCATTCTCATCTCGACAACACCTAACTTAGTTGTATGCTTCTCTTTTAAAGGCCAACATTCAACGTCATAGAGCATCGCAGGTCTCACCACCATCTTATAAAATTTTCTATTCAGTCTAAGCGACACTTTTCTATTACACAATAAGCCCGAAGCATTCCTCCACTTCAACCAACCAACTTGGATTCTACTAATAACATCCTTATCTATATCATCATCACTTTGAACAATAGACTTGAGATATCTAAAGCATTCACACCTTTTAAAAAATTGCATCACCCATAGTTACAAAGAGCATTGCATTCTCATCTCGACAACTTAACTTAGTTTTATGTTTCTCTTTTAAAGGCCAACATTCAACGTCATAGAGCATTGCAGGTCTCACCAACAATCTTAAAAAATTTCATATTCAGTCTGAGCAATACTTTTCAATTATACAATAAGCCCGAAGCATTCCTCTACTTCAACCAACCAACTTGGATTCTACAAATAACATCCTTATCTATATCACCATCACTTTGAACAATAGACCCGAGATATCTAAAGCATTCACACCTTTTAAAAATTGTATCACCCATAGTTACAACTTTGTTGCTAGAGCTACTACTACTAAAATTATATTCCATGTATTCAGTTTTAGTTCCACTCAAATGAAAGCATTTAGACTCCAATATAGACCACCATAATTCAAGTTTTTCCTTAGCTTTTTCTCTAGTCCATCTATAGTATACATATCTTTAATGATATGAATATAAGTCATATCAATATCTTTCTTTCCTATAACTCTCTAAAAAGCTTTTCTTCGAATCTTATCGTAAGCTTTTTCTAAATCAATAAAAATCATTTGTAGATCCTCCTTACTCTCTTTGTACTACTCTAACAAACCTCTCAATAAATGTATAACTTTCATAGTAGACTTGCCCGACATAAATCCAAACCGATTATGAGAAATCTTTGTGTCACGTCTTAATCTATGTTCAATTACTCTTCTCCATAATTTTAAAGTAAGACACATCAACTTAATTTTTTTATAATTTGCACACTCTTGTGCATCCCCTTTATTCTTAAAAATGGCATCAAATATTCTTAAAAATGGAATCAAAATACTTTTCCTCCACTTTTGGGGCATTTTTTTAGTTTTTAAAATAATATTAAAAAGTTTAGCAAGCCAAGAATCTCCCAAATCTCTTTTATAATCTCCCAAATCTCTTCTATATTTTCACACTTCAATTGGGATATCATCAGGTTCTACACACTTTCAACCATTGGTTTTTATTAAAGCCTTCTCAACTTCTTTTTTACTAATGCGACGGTAATAATAAAACATTTTATTATTATTAACGATATTAAGATTATTAAGATTGATTGTACATTCAGAAACTTCATTTAAGAGTTTATCAAAATAACTTACTCGCTTATGTTGAATATCTTTTTGTAACAAAAACATTTTTTTATTTTCATCTTTAATACACTTTACTTGAGTTAAATCTTTAATTTTCTTTTCTCTTTGTTTGACTAGTTTATATTGTTCTCTTAAACTCCATACAGACCATTTTATATTTTTCCTAGTTCTCTAAGGTTTTTATATTTAATAAATTTTTATAATATAACTTCTTATATTTTTATCTTTTCTTGCACATTTTATTCCACCAGTAACTATTTTTATTTATAGAAATTTTTTCTTTTCATTCCCCAAGGTTTTTCTTTTGCTTCTCCAAGTACATTTTTTGCCATATATTTAATAGTGTTTTTTACTTTATCTCACATAAATTTTAGTTCTTCATGAATATTCCAAATCTTGAAATTTTAATATTTACTCATGAAAATAATTTTATTTGTCTTTTAAGCACCTCATCTAATTCTACTACAATGATTCCTAATATTCTT